CCAGGTATTGCTAATTCTGTCCCATTGTATTCCTTACAATGACTAGTAGACAATATAGGAGAATCAGCTATGCAACAAGTGGGAAGAGAAGTAGAAGGGATGAGATAAAGATTGCAGTATCTACTTGTAGTGGGTTGAATTGTGGCCCCAAAAAGATATGTCCACCAGGAACCTCAGAGTGTGAACTTTGTTTGGAATAAGGGTCTTTGCAGATATAATTAAGGTAAGGATATTAAGATGAGATTGTCTTGGATTAGGTGGGCCTTTAATGATGAGTGTCCTTATAAGGGACTGACTTCTATCCTAAAGCACTGTAAGATAATAAATTTCTGTTGCTTTCTAAGTTTGTTTGTTATAGCAGCCCTAAGAAACTAGTATACTGCTTAAGGTCCAACAATGCTAGGATACCAACTTCCCTTAGTTGTATGCTATAAACAAAAAGGATAGAATTCAGACATTGGCCCAGAGGTAAACAGTGATTCAATAACTAATTGGCATGCAGGGTTGGATGCTTTCTGGCATGCTATTTAACTTAGTCTTCCCCCAGATACTTTGAGGTAGATATTTTTTAGTCATTTAACAAAGAAGACCTTGAAATGCAGAATGGTCATTTAGGTAGCAAGTATTTATAAGGTGCTTACTCTTTATACCAGACTTTTGCTGGCTATTGAAGTGACTTACCAAAAGTGATACAACCAGTTAAGTGGCAGAGTTAGTATTTAACTCTAGAACCCACCATGCCAAATTCTGTGCTCCTCTCCATCACATCAGAAAGGCTCAGAACAGGAGGTGTGGGCATTTTGGCAAATACTGACTAGTTCATTTTAGTTGTTTAACAAAGCAGAAAAGAAATTTATTATCTTCAACGCAAATCTCCCTGATTTATGGTAGCTGTTTAGTGCTATTTCTACTAATACCTATAAAGTAGCTTTTACTTTGTTATCTTAATCTTATTTCCTCTTGTAGTAACCCTTTCACTTCATATTAAAAATGTGAAGATAATTTAAACTAATACTTAGTAACAAAATAGAAATAATAGCTCTACATTGTCTTTAGAGATGTAGATCAATGATTTAGAAAAAAATATTTCTATATGCTTTTTAACTCTACACACACCAACACACACACACACACACACACAGAGAGAGAGAGAGAGAGAGAGAGAGAGAGAGAGAGATGTCCTAGAAAAAATATTTGAATATTACCTTGAAGTTGAAGATCACAAAACACCACTTAGTCTTTAGCATCATAATAATATGAATTCCCTGAGTGTTTCATGCAAACCTCTCTTGAATGATTATTAAGATATTTAAGCTGTTTAATAATGCTTGAGAGTTATTAAATTCAACTGTCATCTCATTATAGTTAACGCTTTTAAATGTGCATGGCATTACTAGCTGCAAAACATTTAGTATATATTTTTTTAAAAAGTTGTTCCTACTTTTGCAGGTGGATTCAAGATCAGTAAAATTAAGATCAGTGAAACAGTGAAAGAATTAGACAAGATGAACTAAGAAACTGCTCATGTTGGCAAATTAAAGTGAAAAGATTAGGAATAAAAGACACTAACAAACATTTTCAAGACAAGATTTCATTGAATTTCTGGCTTAGAAACAATAGCTCTGATTCAAATGACATATATCATAACTTTTGTCACAGAAAGATTCATAGGAGAGTGTGAATCCTTCTATACCTCTGAATTGATTACAAATTTTAGTCAGCTATCTTTTGAGTTTTGATTTCATATGGTTTTGCATTTTTGTTAGTTAATGTGGTCTATAAAATAGGGATTGTTTTTAATATTTTTGAGACTTCCTTTGTGACCCAGTAGGTGGCCAAATTTATAAATGTTTCGAGCTTGAAAACAATATGTATTCTTTAATTATTCAATGCCAGGTTCAATATATGTTCATTAGATTAAGCTTATTACTTGTGTTGTTAAGCTTATTAAGCTTATTACTTGTGTTGTTATTTCTTCGCTAATTTTTGTGTCCATGTTATTATTTTCTTGAGAGGTAAATTCTGTAAGTAATTTTAAGAGAGAGAAAAAACCCTGTAGATTCAGCTGTTTTCACTTATGGTTGTGTCCGTTTTCACTTTGTGTATTTTGAAGCTAAGTGTCTTAATCCATTTAGTCTCTTGTTATAAAGAAATACCTGAGGCTTGGTAATCTATAAAGAAAATACATTTATTTGGCTCACAGTTCTGTAGGATGTACAAGAAGCATGGCACTGGCATCTGGTTGGCTTCTGGTGAGAGCCTCAGGCTGCTTCTGCTCATGGTAGAAGGCAAGGGGGAGCCAGCATGTGCAAAGATCTCATGGCAAGAGAGGAAGCAAGAGATGGGAGATGTGGTAGGCTCTTTTTGACAACCTGCTCTCTCAGGAACTAATAAAGTAAGAACTCACTCACCCCTGAGATAGAACAATAATCTATTCATGAGAGATCTGTCCCCATGACCCAAAAACCTCCCATTAGGCCCCACCTCCTAGACTGGGGGTCAAATTTCAACATGAAGTTTGGAGGGGACAAACATATGAACTATAGCACTAAGATTTTAGGCACATACAGTTTCAGGACAATTATAATTTCTGAGTGGATTGTTCCTTTTAGCATTGAGCAATAATCTTTTTTATCTCTAATTATGTTTTGACTTAACATCTGCTTTTTGTCTAACATAATATTGCTATATTAGGGTTATTTTTGTTAATAATTATGGATAAATTTTATTCTAGCCCCATATTTTCAAATTTTCCATGTAATTAACTTTAATTATAGATTTATTGAGATATAATTTATATACTATACAATTCACTCTTTTAAAGAGGTTTTTGGTAAATTCAAATTTGTACAGCCAATACTACTATCTAATTTTTAACAGTTTTATATCACCTCAAAGAAAAACCCCATACCTAGTAGCAGGCACTGCCCATTTTCCACCTTCTCCCCAATCCGTGGCAACCACTAATCTATTTTCAGTCTTTATAGATTTGCCTTTTCTGGACATTTTGGATAAGTGGAACTGTATAAAACATATGGTCTCTGGCTTTTCACTCTTCACTTAGCATAATGATTTTAAGATTTATCCATATTGTAGCATGTATCAATACTTTATTATTTTTAATGGCTGACTAATATTCCATTATAGGAACACCCCTCAATGGTAGACATTTGAGTTGTTTCTACTGTTTGGCTATTATGAATAATGCTGTTACAAATATTCAGGTACCAGTTCTCATGTGGACATATGCTTTCATTTTTCTTGGGTATATACCTAGGAGTGGAATTGGTTGATAATAAGGTAACTCTACATTTGAGATTTTGAGGAACTAACAAATGGTATTTTAAAGTGGCTGCACCATTTTACATCCCCGCTAGCAATGTATGAAGATTTCAGTTTCTCCATATTCTTATCAACACTTGTTATTATCTGTCTTTTTTAAAATTATTTTAGCTATCCTAATGAAATGGTATCTCATTGTGGTTCTGATATTCAGCTCTCTAATGACTAATGATACTAAACATCTTTTCATGTTCTTATTGGCCATTCATATTTTTTTGGAGAAATGTCCATTTAAATCTTTAACCATATTTTTATTGGCTTATTTGTCTTTATTTTTAAATTGTGAGTTCTTTATATATTCTACATATAATTTTCTTATCAGATATATGATTTGAAAATATTTTGTCCCATTCTGTGGGTGGTCTTCACTTTCCTGATGGTGTCCTTTAAAAGCACAGAAGTTTATAATTTTGATGATATCCAATTTATTATTTCTTTTGTTGTTTGTGCCTCTGGTGTCATATATAAGAAGCCATTAAATAAGTTGAGCTTATGAAATTTGTTTCTGTGTTTTTTCCTAAGAGTTTTATAGTTTTATCTCCTATATTTAAATCTTTGATCCATTTTGAGTTAACTTTTTGCATGTAGATACCCAGCTGTCTCAGTATCATTTCTTGAAAAGACTGTTCTTTCCTTATTGAATTGTCAGGGTATCCTTGAAAAATCAATTGACCATAAATGTGAGAGTTTATTTCTGGACTCCCAACTTTATGCCATTGATCCATTCTTATCCCAATACCACACTCTTAATTTCTATAGCTTTGTCATAAGTTTTGGAATCAGGAAGTGTGACCAACTTCCTGTAGCCTTCTAAAGAGGAAGAGTATATTCCCTCACTCGTTGACTTTGGCTGAGCTCCTTGACTTACTTTGGCCCATGGAATAAGATAAAAGTGACACTATGACAATGCTGAGCCTAGTCATTAAGACGCCTTGAGTATTTCTGTTTTTATTTTGCACTTCTGCCCTAAGCCAAGTTTTCCCAGTAGTCTGAGGAAGATGAGAATCATGTGGGGCAGAGCTACCTCAGTCAACTCTAGACCTATAGGAAAGTAGCCCAGTCTCCCTCACTGTGAATCAGAGCTGCTCCACCAAGCTCTTTTTATGGAGAGAAAATCCTTGAAGTCCCTAGGCTTTGTGGAACATTATCAGTACAGCTCTCTAACTAGTATCATCCCAAAACATGTCACTTATTTTGCTTAGATTTGAAAATCCTACCCCTAAACTCCTTTGGACCTATCTTGGTACAAATTTCCTGTGAGCCTTCACCATGTCAGTTCCCACCTAAATAGTTTTGCATTTCATGCTTCTGGCATCCAAATATTTTTTTTTTCTTTCTCTAAAGGTCATACCAGCTTAAAAGTTATTTAGTTTAGTATTTTTATGTCTTTGTAAAGGTGAGTAAGGGGTAGTATGGATAATATGGGACATAGACATCCAAATCAGATCAGTCTACCATTCCTGTAAGTTGGCAGATCAATGCAATTGCAGTGACTATGAGGTGGTTGACTAACTAGACTTACAAGAGTTATTTAGGGCTATGTTATTTAGTCAGAGTTTTCTTCTGGCTAAATTGCTTGGACTGTGTAGGACCCATTATAATACTAAGCTAATACAGTTTCATATTAACTAACTCATCCTTTTGTGGTTGTTTTATAGATGCAAGTTTCCAAAAATAATATTGAAAAGAAAAAGACCAAACTTAGAAAAAGGAAAAGGTATGCTTTTTAAAATTAAAAAATATTGTGATACAATTAAAATATATATATTGGATTTAATTATTACATGACATTTCCCCTGATCCTTGATTCTGTTTCACTAGGGAAACATTGTATGTACTATTTTCTAAAAGAATTAGTACAAGAAGTAATAGTCTCAGAAGTATGGAAAAAGTTTTATATTTTTATACATATGTTGAATCAGAGCTTTTAAAGATTAATAGTATATGGGCAACCAGATTAGAAGCAGGTTTTTAGTTTAAAAATAGATTATGCAAATGAGAAACAGGCTTTCATAATGAACTAATAAGCCACTGATGACAAGTTTGGTGTTTATCATTAAACTAGCCATAAAGTTTATTTTTAAAGAATGGTGATCAGTGCTATGTTAAAAGGAGTTCTACTCAAAAACAAAGACTGGCACTAATAATTCTTTTCTTCTTCTTTGTACTGTTTCAGAAGATGAATAATTAAATTTTAAAAATGGACTCTTACTCTCTTATTTCAGTTACACTTCACTCTAACCCCATCAAATAGGAAGTGTATCGTAATTATTTCCATTTAAAAGATGGAGAATTTATTTGTAGCTTAGAAAAATTAAGTGACTTTCTCAAGATCTTATGGTTAGAGAAAAAACATTTGAACAAATGTCTCTGACTCTAAATCAGCAACATAGTATAGTGGAAAAAGAATGGATTTTGCAGTCTGACCGAATTTAGTTCTGTCATGCTCAACCATTTTTCTAAGTTGTCAAATTTCTTATTTTCTCTGATATCTCAAATTTCTTAGTTTCTTTATATAATGAGAGTAAGAATTACTTAGTATGTTTTTTAGAGGTGGATTACATGAAAAAGCCTGTGGAAAGTGCTTGGTAGATTGTTAGTGCTTTGCTGCTTTGCACCTAGTGAGAGTGCAAATATATATATATATATATATATTTTTTTTTTTTTTGAGACACAGTATCACTCTATGTCCAAGGGTAGAATGTAGTGGCATTATCATAGCTTATTGCACCCTCAATTCCCTGCCTCAAGCAATCCTCCTACCTCAGCCTCCTGAATAGCTGGGACTATAGGAGTGTGCCACCATGCACAGCTAAGTTTTTTTTTCTTAGAGATAGGATCTCACTAAGTGGCTCAGGCTGGTCTCAAACTCCTGCCCTCAAGCAATCCTCCCACCTTGGCTTCCGAAAGTGCTAGGATTAGAAAGGAGCCAACCGTGCCTGGCTGCAAATCATTATTAGTCCCCTTTTTGTCACTGCATCATGCTGTCTTACTCCATAAAACAAAGAAAAGTATCTTAAGATAAAGAAATATGTATTCATAATCTGCAATTATCATTGATATACAGAATGGTCATTTAAATATATATGATTGATCTTTTGAAACTAAATCTGTCAAATTCTTTTTTCTAGGAAAGTGATTTTAAAATGCTCTTTTGAAAACATTTGTTCAGATGATGCCTTATCAAAGGAAAACATGGGTATGTGAAGGCTTATCCTGCTTTTAATTCTTTAACCCACATTAAATTCCACAAAAGGTAGTTGTAGTCCTTTGAAGGAAAAAAAATCTGTTGTGCATATATATGAGAACTATTTACAGGTCCTTTTTGGTATTGATTTATATATTAGGGTTTTTTAATTGCCCTTCTTTGGATTTCTGTTTTCTTGAATTAAATTTTCTCTGGCTTAGTCATGTATTTGCTTTTTTAAGTAAAGCATCCACAGTTGTGGGAGGAAATACCAACAACTATATGTTTCAGTCCAGACTTCTCCATTCCAAACTTATTGGGGTCCTAGGAGTGCCAAAAGTAGAAAAGGGAAAAAAACAGCAGACTGGAATTTGCAACTGAATTCATTTTTGTTGGTACTAGAACATAGTAGTGTGAATGTGGAATGCAAGGAGGAAGTTTCAATTTTCAAAGGTGATTTACTCTTCCTACATTTTCTCTAGTCTTGAAAAGCAGTCAAAACTTATTTACAATATGGAACTTTGGCGGTCATATTCAAAATCCATTAAACCCTGAAGAATTTTCAGTTCCATACTTCCTCTCTTCCTTCAATCAAGCCACCCCCATTGAAAAGCATTGCATTTCAATTGGCTAAATAAAGCCACTCATTTATAGTCTCATTAAAATAAAGGAAAACAGGCAGAGGAAGGATGGAGTAGTTTTTTGTTTTTTTTTTTAAAGTCCTTTTGTTCTTCTCCTAAACCAGTGCAAAATTCTATTATTCCTCTTTGTAAATTTATTCTGCTGCTGTTTTCCTACTAACTTAGGTGCCTTTTCTTGGCTATTTAGTCCCTTTGCCTCACATGATCAGTTCATATATTCCTGTAGAAATGCAAAAGTCTGTTTATCCCTGAACTGAGATCCTACTAGGAGACCCTGGCACTGTAGCTGAGGGCTACATCAGGAGCTTTCTCCCATCCAACTCTCACAAATCCACTGCAGCCAGGAGGTGTCCATTGACTGGAAATGACCCTGCCATGTAAATAAATGAATACATCTCAGTAGTTACCAGGTAAAGGAAGCCCCTTCAGGAGTCTCACATCATATGGCTGTGAAAATCTCTAATTGTTAAAATAGTTAAAACTGATCTGTGATTTTATTCCTCCATACCATTGTGAACAACTAAAGAGGAGGAACATCTAATCTCTGCAAGAGCTGACTTACTTCCTAAAAGAGTGGTTCTTTTTCAAGTTTTACCCTCTTCAAATTTTTTATCCCCTACTCATACTTTCGTGAATTGCTCAATCCAAGCCTCTGATATCTCTCATTTCTTAATAGCTTAAGGTAGGATTAGTCCTAGATCAAATAATGGAAGGAAGTTATACCATCTTCTTCTTGAATCTCTGTCCCATTTATTGGATCTGCTTGCCTTACACTCCCAGGTGCTAAAGTTTCCTCATTAGTCTCCTGCTCCAGATTTGCTGTTCCTATATGAGCTTTATGCTCCATAAGTTACTTCACTCTCTCTCTTTTTCTCATTCTCCTCCCCTCCTCCTCTCCTCTCCTCTCTTCTCCTCTCCTCTCCTCTCCTCTCCTCTCCTCTCCTCTCCTCTCCTCTCCTCTCAAGACTCTCTAAGTTTAGGGTTCAGGAGAGCTAATTAAGTGCAGCTACTTTCTCTCTCCAAGTGTCAGTGTCCTCATCAGTGAAAAAGAGATGCAGTAGAATACCTCATATCCAACATGGACAGGACCTGTTTCTCTGGAAATTAATAGAAAAGGCTGAGGAATCATTAAATAATTTAAACTGTATGCCCATGGCTATGTAAAGATTTAATCTAAGAAATAAATTTTTGTAAAGTATGTCTGTAGTTTTGGGAAAATTGCTACCAGAAATATCATGTGCTATATTTTACTTCTGTAAAAATATCGCTTCTGTAATTCATTTCTTTTCAATATTTAGGGACAGGAAAATTCATCTATTATGATGAAATGATAAGAGCAATAATAATAATGATGACCAACACTTTTAGTAATTACTATGTGTCTTCATTGTTCTAAATATTTCATATACATTTGTTTATTTAACACTTACAAGATCTATATGAGGTAGATAAAGTAGATATTATGTTATATCCCATTTTATTGATTGGGAAACTAGGCCCTTAAGAGGTTATAGGACTTTTCCAGCAACACATAACTTATTAAAATTAATCAAAATGTGCAGCTATTTCCTTGATTGCTTTGAGTATCAGGAATCTTAAAGGTAAATTTATGAGTATTTTGTACAATATTGGTAGTTTGTCTAAGCATTTTTAAATTTAATTATTGCCTTTTGTATCCTCCTTAATGAATTGACTTAGTTTCTTTTAGTCTGTTTAGTTTTTGTTGTTTGTTTATTGTTTTACTATTTTCTGTTGGTAAATACTTCATTTCTTTGGGGGAAATAGGCTATAAAAGCTTGAATAAATAAAATATTGACATATCACCCAGGACTAACTAATATTCCATTAACATTCATTATTAAATTAGCAAAGGATATGTTTATCAGCCACCAGAGACAGGTAAGCTTGAAAGAGAGTGGTTAATATAGGAAAGGTCTAGGTCATAGAGTGAGCCCGAGAGGAACCATGAAGGCCCTGGGGCCTGGGTCTAGAAGGTGGAAACAGTGATAGAGAGAAAGGTGCTATCTTGCTACTCAAGACAAACTTTGCCCACTTACACTTGGTTTGGGATCTACCTTTAACTTCTAGGTTAAAAGGTGGGATTGGCCCTCATCCCCCTTTCCCAAAAAGCACCATGCCTCCTGTATTTGTTTATGTCTCCAGGAACAGTTTCTGTCTTCTTTATAACACCTCAACCTGTATTTTACCATCTCTACATTTAAATTGTAAGCACAGAGGAGGAGTGTTTGTGTCAATTTTAAAACAAAATCCAACCAAGGACTTTTTCCCTCCTCATCTATTAAAATGCTTTCAGAACTTCAACCTTGAAATAGCCCTGCAAGTTTATTTTTTTTTCAATGCTAGCTTTGGGGTAACCAAGCCAGTATATAGAGATATAGGGGAGGAAATACCTTCTTAAATATTTAATAGAAAAATAGAGATCAAAGAAAACTCCATCAAGGTACATTTGAAAGTTTTTAAAATAATGACTGATTTATTGAGATAAATAGCGAGTTATTTCTTATCAGGAATGGAAATATAGCACTGATTTATTTTGTATATATTCATTTTTAATAGCCAGATATGAATTTAGCATTAGAGATACTTTTTTTATTCTTTCTTTCTTTCTTTCTTTCTTTCTTTCTTTCTTTCTTTCTTTCTTTCTTTCTTTCTTTCTTTCTTTCTTTCTTTTTCTCTGAGTGATGGAACAGCCATAATGCTGCCACTTCACTGTCAATGACAGATTGAAACAAGTCAGAGAAACTGCAAGATAATCAGTATTGATAGCAGATGATTGGTCATGAAATCAACAAAGGCATTCATTTTGTCCCTATCTTTGGAGGATATCATTGACCAATTTTGATAACATAGTTTGTAGATTACAGTAACTGCTATTTCTTGAGAAATATTTTTGAATTTCACTTTACAATATAGGAATACCTATTTAGAAAAGCAAACCTTCCATGGCTCTGGAAGCAGAATTTGACATAGTCAAGTTGGTGTTATGAACCCTGGTTGATTTATGAAGTCATCCATTACTGTGTCTACCCTTTGATCAAAAGGCAATGTACATATTTTTCCAGATCACTTGAAAACTGAAAACCTACGATACCATTTGGCAATGACATTCGTTATTATAAATTGATTGTATTTTAGCCTAGTGTTAGAAATATAAAGATGTTTGTTTGCCATTTTTCCTTTACAACATAGCTCAAAATCCATCTTCTCAACAGTGCATTAAATGTCAGTACCAATTTTCGTAGGCCCAGAATATAAAGTAGGAACATATAATATTTGTGAGTAGGACTAGGGAATCGTTGTGAAGATAACCAAAAATAGTCATCTATTAAGTAATAAGTTACTAAATAAGAAAACTATCTTAAAAAGGGGGTTAATTTCATTAACAAAAATACTTCAATAAAAATATACATTCCTTTAGAAAATTCTGATTCAGTAGACATGGAGTTATATCCATATTTTTAAATAAAATCTTTAGGTGATTATTATGTCCACCAAATTTTGAATACCACTGTTCTAGAATATAGCGTTCTGTACTCTGTGTTCTCTGGGTATAGCAGTAAGCCTAGAATACAGGTCTATGAGGATGCAACTAATATGTTACTTTCAGTTTTTGTTTGCTTTTTTTTAAAAGATGGGAACTTGTGCAGTGGCTTATCTGAAAGCCTCTTTCAAACTGTTTTGAAAGACATTTTCCATAGAGAAAACCTAAGATTAGCTGGGAAGACATGATGGCCAGGAAGGCTTATTTTCTTGAGTTCCTGGACCTTACTAGATACACAATAAATATTTGTTGATTGAATATGAAAGTGCCTGGGGCAAGCAATACCTATTGACAGAAAAATTATTTTTATAGACAAAAAGGTATTGCAGAAAATATAAACTAAAAATTGGTTTTCTAGTACTATAGTGACAACCAAGAAAAGAAAACCTTTCTATTTCATAACCTGCCATGACTTTAACACTATTATTTAATAATTGTTTTATCAGAATTTTTAAATTTTCTTTTTATGTCCTATTTGGGTATATGCTCATGTTCCATGAACTTTCAGCTACTCTACCTGGTGTGATTGTTCGTGACCTGCTTATGAATAGCAGATAATAGAAGGTGGTATATTAGATTTTAGTAATCAGAATAGAAGATGAAGAGGCATGTACTCATGGCCTTTCTCTCTGAAATATGTTGTTTTTGGAAAGGCTTCTCAGATGCTCCATCTTTATCTGGTACGGGGCAGCAGGGCACATGTGGCTTCCTCTCTTTGATCTTTGCTACAAATAGGCCTTATATCAAAAGAAAATGTTTTGTTTCAGTCAATAATTCAAGTGCATATTGTTAATCAGTAGTTGAATCTGTAGAGTTAAAATAGGCTTTTATTTCTATGGTGGAGGATACAGTTTTATCTCAGTAAATCCAATGAATTACCAGATTTTGTGCCTAATTATATATTTATGTCATAGTAGCATAAAAACTTTTATAAGTGAAGTATTTTTTTAAAATATCAGATTAAGTAATTAAGCTGTGTTGCCATTTGGTTTAGGAATGGACTAGCTTGTGTTCAGCCTCACCACTTAATTATAGTACTTTCCCTTTTAAATAGTAGTTTTAATAGTTTATAGTAGGGATTGGCAAATGGTGGCCCACAGGCCATCAGCTACTGCCTGTTTTTGTAAATAAAGTTTTATTGGAATATAGCCACTCTAATTTTTTTATGTACATGTCAATGATTTGTGCTACAACAGTGGAATTGAGTTGTTGTCATAGAGACCACCTGTCCTACAAAGCCTGAAATATTTGCTCTCTGGTCCTTTACAGAAAAAAATTTCTGACCTCTGGTCTATAAATAACAATTTATTTTGGTGCCTTGGTTCCCAATTTTAAAAAAATAAACAACAAAAACTTCTAGTAAGCTTTTTATACTTCCCTGCTACTTTATAGTTTATGCATAGCACAAATATAACCTACATTTTTTAAGGAAAAATTATAAAAGGTTCACCTTGAAATTCATAATAATTTTGATCAAGTGGAGCTCCTATGTGAAAATTATATGAAACTTTTATGTTTTATCTTGTAGCATTTAAATTTCTTCTTTCTGGGTAGTTAAGATTATGAATTAGATTTAATTAATTAAGTAGCATTTTTTACTGTATTAATGATGTTTCTTTAGTTGTCTCTGAGACTGAAGTTTTACTGAAAGAGTTGGAGCAAATGCTACAGCAAGCACTAGAGCCCACAGCAATACCTGATGAGTATGAAGAAGAACATGGAGAGGAAATAAATGCAGGAGAAAAGGTAGTATTGATAATTATTATTAAGCCTAAATAGTAACTTCCTACTCTTTAAATGACAGAATTTCTTCCTGGTTGTACATTTTAATTATATGGAAAACCACTTTCTCACCTTAAATGTAATCCCTGATTATCATGAGGTGGATAATAAACTAATAGCCTGTTCAGAAATCAAAATACATCTATCAGTGTTTGAAAATATGTCTGTGTTTAAGCAGAAGATTTCTTTTAATATTAGATCTTTGGGATTGGAATGGAGGAAGATGGTGGGGGTTCACTGTAGCTGAGGTGGACCACTACACAGAAACCTCTCCCCTGTTGATCTTTATGATCAGGAGAAGGGGCCAGGATAACAGCAGCTCACTGGAAAATCTGCCCTGTCTGGGTTATGCACCAAGATAACCTCTACAGGGACAAACCTCATCATGAACATACTGGAGGTAGAATTTTTCATTGGAGTAAGTTTTACCGTTTATATCTAGATTGGTCCTGTTTTTTTCTTTTGGCTTTCTATGTTGGACTTAGAAAGGCCTTATGTGCTTACTTCATTCAGTGCCTCTGAAGTAAAATGAGAGTTTATAGTATAAGGCCCATGTCATTGATACAGAGCAGCAATGGGGTAGGTTTAAGAAAACAGACCCTTCCATAAAGTGGTACGGCTGTTCTGTAACTAGGAAGAAAAATGGCAGTAAGAAGTTGTGTGCATCCTTAAGGTTTTATTCATTCATTCATTCATTTAGATGTATAGTGAGACTGGAGTCAAAAGAGACTCTGGGTTTGGAATATAATGCCTGTGTCCCAATCCTGGTCCTGCCGATAACAACTTGTGTAAAGTTGCTTATCACTTGCCTCAGATTGATTGTTTTGAGTATATACTACATAGAAATAGACACCTAAGGTTAGCTATTATTATGGTAAGAATTGGCAATGGCAGTTGCTAAAGAGAATAAGTGCTAAGATTTTCTTACTTCCTCTCTCTTTTCCCATATTTACACTTCGAACAACTACCTATCACTAAGTCTGTCTCTTCTGAGATGTAGAAAAGATGGATTTATAAATGGACAAGGTGGTTTACACACTTAGGCAGACTGCCCAATTGCATGATTTTATTCAGAACTTCAACGAAAATAATGATGATTCTTGAACACCTCTTTTATTGAGCTAGAAATTAAGAAAATGCATAGAATTTACCATTATGGAGATAAATGTTTTAAAGGAAAATAAAATTAATGTTAAAAACTCCTATTGAGTTAAAAAGGATGATAATTTTCTTAATCAGCACCAGCAGTATCAACTTTTACCTGAATTTGCATGGGTTATAAATGCCATTTTTCCAAATAGAGTTTCTTTCTAAAAAGGCTTGTTTTCCATATAGGGGTTTTACCTTTTATAGAACAAGATTGGTGACATACATCTTGTATAAATATAATTAATATACAAATTATTCTTTTCTAGGAAATGTGTGTTTTATTTCAACACCATATGGTTTTATGCAATGTTTTTTCAGTGTTAGCAGTTTGTCTTTTCAAAAATACGGCCAGGTTGATTTTTATAGTGATGTCCTGGAGCTTTTACAGTCACAGAATTGGCTTCTATTTTGCCATTATAACTAGTAACTTGATGGAATAGAAAATTACTTCTGATTTTTATTTCTTAAAATAAAATACAGTATTTTAATCCATCACTAGGCAGAGGCTTGCTTTTTGTTTTAGATTCTTGTATTATTTATGCTCTCAAAAGGCATTTAGGAATTGTAAAAATTAACCATTTTAACTTGCTGTCAGGCAGGTTAGTGTTTCCTGCTGACTGGTTTTCATCAGTCACTCTGCACACTGAGCTTTGTAAGTCTGGCATTCATGCCAGGTTCAGAATATTTAGGGCCTTGTTCACTTTCAAATTAGCAGAATAGCAATGAAACCAACTATTAAGCTGGAACAATTTCTAGTTTTAAAGTAAACAAATAATCACCTCTGGGATGTTATTTATTTATTTTTAGTCATCATATAGAATTAATATGGCTTTGAAAGCCAACTCCACTTAATACTAGAAATGTGTTTTGTTTTTAGAAGAAAATGCCCTCCTATAAGCTAAGCATGCCAAGAGCCACCTGATAATTTTAAAGTTCTGAGCATGTTGATTCTCTGAGCAGATAGTATATAAGCTATTTTCAAAGTTGTAAATTTGATAATATTTTCATCATTCATTTCACCTATGAGGTTTCAATTTGATTACTCTCAGGTATTTACACCAATGGATGAGACTAACAATGCGGAAAAAAGCATACACACATGGATAATCAAAACTCTTTTCTATGTGTCATTGAAATGCTTTATGAGATTATTTTCCTCAGTAGAGTCACCTTCCTATTTATGTTCTTCTTTAGCTAATATTAACAATGGATGACATGCTCTGACTTGGCAAGCGATGGGAAGAAATAAATTTTAGATTTTTATAAATCTACCTGAATAATTCACAAATTGAATAATCTGTATATAAATAAGACAGAGTTCACTGAATAATTATTTGTATTAGAGGTACATTTTTGGTGGATGAAAATACTTATATGAACTACATGTATATTCGTTTTTTCCATTCAATTACATGGGAAGTTAACCCTACCCTTAATGAACTTTGAAATTATAAATTCCGTACATGTGTGAGTCTATGTCTGTGTCTAAGTATGTGTGTGCATTGTTTTTACCAGTGTACTTTCCCACTAAGCTAGAAAAGACTATCATTATTTGTAAGTAATGCAAATGCTGTTGAGAAGATGACCACAGAAAATGTGACTAAAGCAGTTTTAGTCCCTATAGTCCCTATAACAATAATGTAAAAAATAAACCAAGGTAGAAAACTCACACAGAATTAAAATAATCGCATTTTTCCAAAGCATAAAATTAAAACTAAAACTGAATAATATTGAGGAATAAAAATGGACCTAAATAATAACTTATTCATATATAAACACATTTACCACATATTATACTATAAATGGTAATCATTATTTGAACACCAGAATAACAGAAAACTTTGTATAACTGATATGGCTTAAGGAATGACTGACTACTTTATGTTTTATTCAAATAATCAAGTAAATTTGAGATCACTTTGATTAATTATATGGTTGTTTTGCAGTTATCTAAATGCAACCCTGAAGCTCCTGCGAGCAGTCCATTTGAAAACCACTATGAAGAGGATTATCTTGTAATTGATGGTATAAAACTAAAAGCTGGAGAATGTATTGAGAATATAACTCACAAATTTAAAGAAATAGATGCTTTGATGTCTGAATTTTAAGGCATTATACATACTTTCAAAAGTTAGTTATGAAAACATTGGCATCTTCATATTTTCCCAAAGTCAAAAACTTAAAAATGTTTAGTAAAATAGTTGCACATTATACCAAAGCTGATATTTGTAATAACTATCAGCTTCACATTTTGAGAATGTCCATGGTTTTGGGAGCTAATCAATGGTATTTAAGTTAATGTTAAAAATTTAGAATCAAAAAAAACCCTTGATGTTTGTATTTATATATTTTTTCCTATTTTCCTGAATTTTAAAATATTAAATTTTATGGAATTTACCTCACAAACACAAGCTTTACAATGATTATTTAGGCCCTTTATTCAAAATAGCTAACTGTTAAAATGGCTGTCAAAACTATTATAATTCTTAAAGATAATTCATGTATAATATAGAGAATGTGTATTAGTAGTAGAATTAAACTTTTTACAAAATAAAAGAAAATTTTTTAAATATTTGTTTAATAGAGTTGAAACTTTTTTAAGAAACAAAAATGTCAGTTGCCTCATTATATGTGAAGCAATCATTTCAACCATGGTTCTCCAAACTGGCTGCTTAACAAAGTCCCTGGGAGACTATGGAAGATCAGAATGCTGGACCCTTCCCCACTGAATCAGTGTCTCTGGAAGTATCATCTTGAGGATGGGAAAATGTAATTAAAACTGTGTACAGAGAAGTTAAACATATTCACTATAAAATATCCAACAATATAGAAAAATTTAAAGTATGTCATTCCTCAGCTATTTCCATGAACCTTTTTAGTGAGTGTCCTTCTAGATCTTGTTCTATGTATATCATAGGTGGAGCATTGACTCCTCTGTCTAGTTCCAGCTCTGGCTTTCTCTATGCCTATCTCTGACTAGGGGGAAGTGCTGGAGGAAAGGGCATTCCACACACATAAAAACAAACGCAAAGCTTGAGGAGAGAAAAAAACATGAGAGCATCTGGATTTGCTCTTAGTTGAATTAGCTGGAGTGATGTGTGATGGTGAGAAGTTAAGGCGTAGCAGCTCGGGAGGGTGGTGTTCGTAGACCGAGGAACTTACAATGTATTCCAAAAACTGTAGGGACTAATGGAACAGTTTTCATAGTGGAATCCTTTTTACATTTCAGGAAGATCATACCAGCTGCAGTATGGAAAATGAAGTGAGAGGGAGTAACCCTGGAGGCAGCAAACCAGTTAAGAGACTACTTCAGGAATTCTCTTGTGAGATCATGAGAGCCTAAATTATGGAAGTACTGCAGTGGACAGAAGTAGATAGATTCAAGCTAAATTTACATAAGTGGATTATTAGGATTTGGAGATTGAATATAGGGGTGAGACAGAGGGAGGAATCAAGGACGACTCCAGGTTTCTGGTATTCACAATGCTATTCTCTGAAGTAGCAACACATGCAGATTAGAAATGTAGGACACATATCACATCTGGGCCAAACTGCATCAGTTCAGCAGAGAGTCTATGCTATTCATGCTTTGACAAAGCCTGCATTTCAATACCAAAGTGACTAGTAATAGTTTCTCAACACATAATGTTTAAGTTCTAAGTCATATAAAACACTTGAAGCTCAGACTTTTGTGGGGGAGAAGGACATTATTCAAAAGCTTAAAATTTATACCTCCATCATATGCTGAAATAAAAAAAAAAAACAGCAAAGGCTAAGGCCTCCACCTTTTCTTATAGCTGTGTAATAACCACAGCATTTCAGAAAACCCTTCCTCTTTTTCTTGGCAGTATAGTTTTATATTCACAGCATACAAGATGTCTCAAGAACTAATTGATCAAGCTTTTGTCACTGCTTAAAATCAAATATAAAATTTACTAAAATTGTATTTGAAAGACTTAATCCACAATTCAAGTGTTTGATATACACCCCCATCTAGTAGATCAATTAGATCACTTGCAGCTAATTCCTTTTGGTGGAATAGTCAGTACTTATCAAGGTCAGATTTTTTAGACAAGATGCTAAAATTTCCAGATTGAATTTATCTCTGCTATGATTTGACTTATAGAAGTCTAGAATTTCCACTGAAGTCTTTGTGCACAGGAGCAGCTGAGAATGATTCTGAGAATAAACATTTGAGTTGGCTTTGTCTGCAGAGGACACTGAGTTTCTAAGAAAAATTTTGGAAGAAACTATTTACTTTTAAATGCATATGTTAATAGCAATGTACTACAAGGAAAAGATATGCTCAGAAGAAAAAAGAAAAAAGGCCAGTTTGCAGGTAGATTTTAGAGAGTTTATCAAGAGCCCAGAAGTTACTGGGTTAGAAAATAAAATTGTTTCTTATCTTCAAACTCTCCAGCTAAAAAAAGATTCTCAAGTTAAGACACAGCCTGAGGACAAAACTCTAGTCAAGGGCACAGTTATTAAATTACAGAGAGAGACAAAGACCAAATCCAGGTGGCTTGCAGAAAAACATAGCCTCAGGGTAAAGACCCAATCAGGGGTTTGGCGATAGCATTGTAAAATATTACAAAGTGACTTTGAGTAGATCTTTCAGCTGGACAAAACCTCCTATAAAGCTTCAAAGCATGGTACTACAGCCCACCTGATGTGCTTTAAGTGCTAGTAATTAAATCTGGAGAGAGAAACAGGTCTCATAAAAACTGTGATTTGGATACATGGAATGAACTGGAATCAAATACATAGAAAACCCACTAAGTTGTAGAGAGAGTAATATTGCCTAAGTACTGCCAGCCTGAACTAAAAAAAGATGGAAGTGGTTTGAGAGGGAAAAAGGACCTCTGAGAGCCCCCCCCCCCCATTTATGTCAGGTGGAAACAAGCTTAGAAAACTTTTCGGCCACCAAAGAAAAGAAGTAAGTTTCAATATCCTCTTCAGAAGCAAGTGAAGAAGATGATGGACAAGGATGTCTTAGAGGATAGAGCCAGGAACTATAGATAACAGTGGACCAGGGATATTCCCCTCCTCCTACCCCACTCCACTACCATGGGTGAACAGAACCAAGGTGTAATCAAGAAACATTCTCTACTCCCATGGCAGAGGAACTTGGCTAATTTGCCTACAGGGATTTCAGAATTGCTAAGGACCAATCTTCCTCTTTTTGAATGGAGTTGTTTACTGTGTTTGTCCTGTCCCTGTTATACCATTGCATAGTGTGTAAGTTGGTGGGGAGCCAAAATTTGTCTTTTTAGTTCATTGGTCCCGTTGATATCTGGACCTGGTGTAGATATTGAAGTCCTAAATTTTGAGCCTGATGCCATGATTAAGTAAGACTTCTGGGTATCCTTTGATGGGGATGGGATGTTTTCCATTTTAGAGAAATGAAAATAATGTGGCCAAGAGGAATGAACTGTTTGATTGAATTATTGGCCCGAGTTCTTTGTGTTTTCATCTATTCCATCTTTGTCATGGCCCTATCATGGACAGAGTGTACTTCCTGATCCCTTTTAACCATGCACTGGGATTCTTGCTTTGATAAATGAAATGAGACAGAAGTGATGGTACCAATTCTGAGTCTAGGCCTTAAGAAACGTTAGATGTCTCTGCTTTTCCTTATACCTCTGCCATTGCCTTGAGAAGAATATGACTCAGCAAGCCTTATGGTTTAGAGAAGATGAAAGACCATGGAGAAGACCTAGATCCGAAAACCTGCAGAATAAAGCAGAGCTGCCCTAGTCAACATTAGGACCATAGAATAAACGATTGTTGTTTTAAGCCACTGAGTTTGGGGGTGATTTATTACACAGCATTATTATGCCAATAATTAATACATACACTTGATTTCTTGGTCCCAGTAACAATTTTACAGACCAACTCTGATAGCAGCTTTTCATCTGTACTGGGCCCATGGGGTAGTCTCTCCGTAGGGTAGTAGTACTATCACAATGGTTCTGTCTCCTGGATTAGACCCAGAGAGCTAGCCTGAGGCCTTCTGCCCAGTCACCTTGCCCAGCTCTGTCTGGATGTGGCCCAGACTGTCCCCTAAACTTTTGTGGCTCAGCCCATTCTCTGCCTAGCCCATCATGGTGAGTTTTATTATAAACTGCCTCATATTGCTTTATCAAGGAGGCAGCATAAGTGTAGATATTATAAATACATAGGACACTAACACAACCAAAGTATTACTAAATGTTCAACGAGTGGGCCATTTAAGTATTTTTAAATTCTATAATAATCATATAGAGTGAAAAGTGGAGATATGCCCATAATGGTGGAGTATCTTATTTGGCACAGAAAAGTATGCATGTATTTCCTTCCTACTACCTTTACCCATGCCCTTTGATATTGTATCACAGGAAGATGAGTTGTAAAAACTGTTTGGATCCAAACTTAACCTATATACTTATCTAAGTCATATGACCAGTAAATGGAAGGGCCCAAATTTGAATACATTTCTGTTCCAGATCCCATGCCCTTGATTACCATCTATAATTCTTGATAAGTTTTTAACTATCTCAGTGGTAGAATGTTCATCTAGTTTCCTCATATGTAAAATTAAGAATAAAAAGCAGAGTGTTATGAAGAATAAAAGAAATGTTTTATGTGAAATTGGTTTATAAATCAATTTAATCTTCTATTTACTCTTTCTGAAGGGAACCAAGTATGTGTTTAAGTACATTGCAATTAATAATTATTGAGATAAAATGTAGGCATTTGAAATGATCACTTTTCTTACTAGTGTATTATTTGATCTACTAGTCATCGATATCAGAGTTCCTTTTTTCTTTTTTATGCAATTAATTTTTAGAAACCATTGTCAGCATTATGATTTTCTTTCTCATAGGTATGGTAACAGCAATGTCTATCTTTTTAGGTACATCCCACTGTTTAGTTTTAGAAATGTCCTTAAATCACCTTGCTTTCTTCACAGACATTTAGTTCTATAGAAAGGGAAAGGAAGGGAAAAGTCTTAATATTGATGAGTAGTAGCAGGGTTCTGTGTCATTTTGAATGCATTTCAGTAAATGCATGACTGTTTTTTTTACAGGGAACCCATGCTATTTTTAAGAGTGCCCTCCTCTGGCAATTTGGAATTTGGGCCCAGGCTCAAAAGATCTTTAGAAAGCCAGGAAGCTCACCCAAAATTTGATCAGCATTAGTCTATTTTATTGTTGATACTTCCTTATTATGACATGCAGTTAAATTGCATAAATTTTAAATTTTATAAAACAAACCCTTTCATTTTGTTGAGGGGAAGAACCAGGCAGGGGAGAAATGTGATTGTGGCCATATCCCTGCCTTCTGGAATTTACAATCTAGTGATGGAAGAATGTAAACAAACATAGTTTAGTTCACTAAATATGAAATGTCTGATTTTCAATCAAACGTGCAGTTTATTATATCTCAAACAAGAAGCAATGCAAATCAATATATGTCAAAATATGTCAATATATAATCAAAATATGTACCTAAATTATCGACATGGTTTTGCCATCTTAATGGTAGCTTGTTTATGTCAGCAGCAAGGAAACCTGGAGAGTGAGTGGTGATGAAATCACGAAAAGTGTACAGCTTGCTGAGAACTGAATATTTTTCCTTTCAGGAATTGGTCCAAAGCCTGGAATAAGTGGTAGTCAGTTGGTGCAAGGTCTGTTGAATATGGTGGATGACAGAGAGCTTCCAAGTCCAGCTTCTGAGCAGCATTCTTTGTGCGACATGTGGTCAAGCATTGTCTTGCAAGAGGATTGGCCTGTCTCTACTGACCAATCTCAGCTGCATAATCATAAGCATCCTCATAATTTCATCCAGTTGGTTGCAGTAAACATCTGTCATTGTCAATTGAACAGGTTTCATGAAGCTGTAGTGGATAATGTCTCCCCAGCTCTGGACCACCAAACAGGCACCATTAGTTAGCTTTTTTTGATGAATATTTGGTTTGGGACAATGTTTTGGCACTTCATCCTTATCCAACCATTGTGCCAAACACTTGTGATTGTCAAAAAGAATCCATTTTTCATCACACATAACAATACAGCATAGAAATGTTTCGCCTTTATGTTGTGACAACAAAGAAAGTCAACCTTCCAGGCGATTTCTCTTCTGACATTCATTTAATTCATGTAGAAACCATCTATCCAACTTCTTTACCTTGCTTATTTGTTTCAAATGGTCCAATGTTGTTGGAATAGTAACATCAAACCTTGCTGCTAATTCAAACATGTAGGTTGAGATGGATTCACTTCCACTATAGCATTCAGTTCATCATTATCCACCTTGGTTTCAGGTCACCTATGTGGCTCATTTTCAAGATTAAAATCACCAGAATGAAACTTCTAAAACCATTGGTTACTGTGTTTTCATTAGCCACATCCTTCCCAAACAATTCATTGATATTTTGAGCTGTCTGTGCTGCATTGGTTCCACAACAGAACTCATATTAGAAAATAACATGAATGTTTGACTTATCCATCGTTTCACAAAAATTGCTTTAAAAAAAACTTTGACAGATAATTATAAGCCAAAATGTGTGTTTAAGAGACTGAGGATGTACCTTCACAATAAAAATAAAACAAGATATGTTGAAGTAAAATGTCAGAGATATCAACTGTCAAACTTAGTACTTAAAGAAATTGGACATTTCATACTTACTAATCTCAACGTAGAAACTGAATTTGAAAATTGAATATCTGAAACCAGAAGGGAGTTATCTTCCCAGAAAGCTAAGAGTCAGTAATTACAAAATTCCCTTAGTACAATTCCTTCAGGCTCAAGTATCCCTGCCAGAAGTGAGAAACCACGTCACAGATTCCAAGGTCAGCAGACAATTTTAGACTTGGGATGCCAACAACTGTTCATAGACAAAGTTAAGCCAAAGCTAGAACTTCCCTCCCATGATTCTTCTTGAATTGCAGAGAGGGCCAACGATAATGACACCTGGCATATCCCATTAGGTCTTGACTGGAGAGGACTTTCTGCTTCTATAGTACAATTGGATCAGATCCCAGGTACTCCCTACGATCACCACTCATTCCCCCTTTCCACTTCCTGCTTAGTTGCCTTTCTATAATCCACTGTCCCCTTTTCCTCCATAACTTTCATATTTTCATGACCACTCCTACTACTGTGGATAAAGCCAAGATGTAGAAGGGATAGAAGGGGAGGTTAGCCCAAGACACTCATCTTGGATGGTGGTTCCGTGTGAACAGTAAGCTTTTGGAACCCCTTCATGACAGGAAGGAGTGGGGAATGGTGGGTGAGTGAGGGAGCAAGGCTCTTTAGGGTAAGGGGCTGGCCAGTCAGCCTCCAACTTCTGCCAACAGTCCTTCCTACCTCTCCCATGGATGCCTGGCCCAATCTCTCAGTAACAGCTGCTGCCAGGCACTGCCAGAACTGGAAATCACCATTAGTTACCTGATCTATGAAAGCCTGACTTTCTCCAAGCAATGAAAGATTAGGGTATCAATGTACAGCAATGTGTGAAAGGTGCAGATTATTTGGAAATTGAGGTCAAACCTTAAGAGGTAGAATGTGTTAAGTACTAGGGTAGAGATAAGAAACCAAAGGAGAGTGAGGTTAATTCTGACTGCAGGGACAACTTTATTGAGACATTTCATTTATTCCTTTATTAAATATTTTAGGCCTGGTTTGTGCGAGGCACAGGTAATATAATAATAGTGAACGAGATAGACATGACCTCCAACCTCCGGGAACTGACATTGACCTTGGGTGAGTTACTTTAGCCTCTCTGCCTTACTTTCCTTATCTGAAAATTAGGGTGAGGATGATGGTAATGATAATAATAATAATACTGATCTCATAGAGTAGTTGAACAGAATAAAATGGGTTAAGACACACAAAGCACCTAGCAAGGTGCCTGGCATGTTGTGTGTTATGTTACAATCATTACTACTTTTATGGTCTAGTTGGAGAGAGAAACCCATGATGCAAAGCCAGGTTATGAAGATAGACTAGTACGCTGGCTGAAGAAGATGAAAGTCACAGACTAAAACAAGGCCCAAAGACAAGAAAAGTAGAAATAGCAACTTATTAACCTGAGTAATAGGAGGGCAGACGGTGAAGGATGTGAAGAGAGGAATGTTGGGGGTTAAGGCTGGACCAGGCAGGGACCAGGGGCTTTGCTCAAGGAGGACCTTGTATATCACACCAAAAGGGCAGCACTTCTTTCAGCAGGAGAGCTAGGTTTTTCTGTAGAGAAGGTCAGTGACCACCAGAATGTCTAGGATTAAACAACCAAGGGTGCTGGGCATTGGTACTGGCTTGGAATCAGACCATTCTGCTATTGGCATGCATCAGGGGGCAGTGGGAAGATATTACTGTGCCACCCTGTGAACCCTGTGTCTGAGGAAATCCGTGCCCTGATGTTAGCTCAGATTGTCAGCTTCCACAGCAAGCGCCTTAGGGTTGCCAGCAGGCAGCCAGGGACTGGAAGGTTAGGTGTCTCCGTGAAGTCTTATTAAACTCTCTGCTGCCTGGGAATAATGCACCACAGCTGCAGAGTTTTAAATGGCAAAGGGTCTCTGGCTGTCAGAAAGGTTACAGGTAGATACTTTCATTTGTCCTCCATGAAAGCTTAATATCATTTTCTTCTGTTCAAGTCATCTTATAGACCTCATTACTTCAAGTTCATCGGGCAGCTAGAACAGCCTTTTTGATTTTACTGTGCTCTTAGAATCATGTTGGGAAAGAGCTAATGCATTTTTAACAAACTTCGGCAATTTAAAGCTCCTGAGTGCTATAGTGTATTCATACAATTGTTGCTAACTCTCTTAGAGCAGTATCTGTGTCAAGAGAGATTTCCACTATTAGTGTGAGTTTCTGGAGGTAGGGGCTACATGTCCTTCCATTTTGTGATCCCTATAGCATAGGGCCTTGCACATGTTTAAAACAGAGTTCTATTTTTATATTGATTTTAAACTTCCTGACATTCCAGCCTGTTCATAACATTTTCTGAAAAGTTCTGCACTCAAACACCTTTTTGTTTGAACCTAAAGTGGTGGTTGTTTTTTGCTTCTAACTCCTCCCAACATACCACGAAAAACACATGCTCTATCAGTTTCTATAATAGCACAGGGTATCTATCAAGCAACCATAAAATGCCAATAACAAACAAGAAAGCGCAATTTTTTTTTTTTTTTTAGTTTGGGAGTCTTCAAGGTTCAGCTGGCTTGGCTACTTCCAATAGATCTCACTGCTATCTGGTCAGCTGCATGTCTACTTAGGTGTGTGTCTCTATTGATCTTGCTAGGCTTACTCACATGTCTGAGGTCCAGCTAGTTATTGGATGATCTAGAGCAGTCTCAGGTGGCTAAATAGAGGCAACTTGACTGCTTCATGTACTACCTTTCATCTTCTAGCCTAAGCATGTTCTCGGGGAGACAGTGGAAGAACAGAGCAAAAACAATCCGCATCATGCAGTGTTTTCTTAGCTTCTGCTTGCATCACGTTTGCTAAAATCTCTTTGGCCAAATCAAGTCACATAGCTGTCCCCAGAGTCAGACAGGGAGGCACTGCCAAAGGACACGACTACAGGGATGGGCCTTAAATGCAGTCTATATACATGTGCTCACTGAAAAAGAAGAGAAAATTTCAACAAGAAAATGAAAATCACCTGCATTTCTATGAACTACAGGTAAATCATTGCTGATATTTTAAAAATACTTAACAATCTTATTACTAAGTAAATACTGTGTGTACTTTTAAAAGCACATCTGAAATAATATCAATCACATAATTGTTTACATTGCTTTTTCCTCTTAAATATATTGTGAACATATTTCCATGCCATAAGATATAGTTCTACAATAGGATTTTTAATGATTGCCTAATATTTCATTGTATGTATATTCAAAAAACTGAAATACCCTCTTGATGGACATCTAATTTGTTTCCGTGTTTTCACAATTATAAGCCACTCTGCCATGAACATCCTTGTCATTCAATCTTTGTATACATTTGTATTTTTTTTTCAAGTAATTTCTAGAAGAGTAATTGACGGGTCAGAGTGTCTGTACAGTTTCAAGGCTTTGTATGTCTACTGACTTATTTTCTTCCACCAGATGTGTATGTGCGTGTCTGTTTCTCTGTGAGACTGGGGTCTGGTTTTTAATTGAAATTGTTGCTTATAACAGTGTATTGGGTTAATCTCTTTCTTAAAAGAACATTGACTAAATGACTATGAATTGAGTAGTTTCTTTCCTAATTCCTTAAAGAGATATGAAAATTAGCATAGGCAGAAGACATAGGCCTGAACATGACTGAGATAAGAATAATAAAAATGGGCTTCAAGATGGCTGACTAGAGGCACCTGGAACTGGCATCCTCCACAAAGAAGGACCAAAGCAGAG